AAATTTGCAATTTTTTTTCCAAATTAGCCAAAACCCAGTGTTGTTAATGGAAATTAGGGAAAACCAATTTGATTGCAGCTTGGAAACAAAGAAGCTATAAAGAAAGAGCGTGCCCGGCTGTAAGTTTTTGTGCCACTTTTTGTTTCTTTTATTTGTGTGTGTGTTTTTGGGGCATGTGTCAATATTAATGCATTGTTGCTGTGATTTAGGGCAGTGCAGATGAGTTGAATAGGGGGTATTTTGCTGATATGTCAGAGCTTAAGAAGCATGGTGGGAAGGTAAGGAAACACTGCAATCAACCCATTGAAAATTTGTTATTTTAATGCCATTTTGCATCCGTAGTTCATTTTTGGGTTTCAATGGATTGGTACATTGTCGTGTAGAAATGGATGCTTTCCTTTTGTCTTTTCAGAATTAGGAATTGAGATGATAAGTAGTACTAACTGATAGTAATATTCTAGTCTCTATGAGGAAGCATTATACTCTTACTTGGTGCACTAAAAAGGATGTTTCTTTTTCTTTATAAGTTTGAACTATAAACTTTAAGTTTCTGTGCAGATTTCTGTGGCAAATAAAATCTTAATTCCTGCAACCGCAGCTGTTAAGTTTCCTGACTTAGAAGTGAACTACTCTGATGGCAAAATATCAAAGCTGCCCATTGGCTCCAGTGGAAATGGAAATGTGGCAGCTGTCAACAAAGCGGAAATCCCCAAGGCATCTTTAGTTTGCCTTTCATTTCGAGCAAGCTCCCAGGTATTTTAATTTAGTTATCATTATAGTATTTTTATACACTTTGAAATGTGCAACCCGTCATGAATTATTTACAATGTTTGACGATTCTTAAAGATGAGTTATACATTCTTATTGTTCATTTTATAATGTGTATGTATGGGAAGTGTCTATCAAAGAGAATTTGGCCATATGTTATGCAGAAAAAGGAAAGATATAAATGCATTTGACTTACTTATGCTCTTTTGAACATGAAGATTAAAACTGTATGACTTTTGAGAAAGTTCTCCAATAATAACAAGGACAGCAAGATGCATCTAGAAATTGAAATGCAAGTTTTCTGTCCTCAGTGATTGGAAACTGGCTACAGTGTCCAGTAAAACCATCAAGCGGTGGCAATGCACACCTCCGAAATTGGAATTTTCATTTTTATGCCTTATAACATAAAATGTACTTTAAGGGTGACAGATAAGATCAACCACTCAGGTTTGTTTAAGTTTAGTTTAGAGAGTGAAATGCAGTTGATGGTTAATGTAAAACTTGGTGAGCAGACTAGAGCTGGATTTTGTTTAGAAATGTAGAAAGATTTGTCTAGTCCCAGTCTGACCCATTTCATGAATGCATTTGAGTCATCCTTGTGCAGAGTTATAGTAGGGGAAACCACTAGAGCTGCCTTGTAACCATTGATCTCCAATTTATTTATTACATGTTGAAGTGTGTTGTTTACTATTGTCAGAGTGTTGTCATTTTTCAATTGCCCGTTAATCTCCAATCTAGGTAATACTCAAGCTAGATAGCAACTTTGTTGCAGGCATTGTGATTTTTACATGGATGCATTATGTTTGGTTTTTCCTGTGGACTGTATATGGACAGTTAAACTTGTTATGTTACTGCTTCAGCCCTTGTGATTTTCTGTTACCATCGTTCCTACAAAATAAAGTTCTTTGTCCTTGACAGGGAATGATTCATTCTTGGAGTGCTCCTTTTCTTGATGCTTTTAGTGGTTCAAGGGATGTTCAATTATATGAGGTACAAGTGTTTTTTATAGATTGTCATCATTGATTCAATTTTCTGCATTCTCTGTTGTAGTTATTTACCCACTTTTTCTTGCCTCTAATAATACTTACTTTCTGTAAGTTTAGATAACTCTTTCTGTGCAAAGTTTGATGAACAGTGTGAAGTAAACCTTGTTAATGCGGGTTCATTTAATGGCAAGGTTGACTATAAATTATGTCTTTAAAGTGTTTTTATAACAGCATGCATTTCCTCACTTGAATTTTTCCAGATAAGCATTGTTCCTGTTATATGTATAAAACATGAAGGTTATCATTATTGTGGCCTTTGTATTGTCGCCTTTGTATTGTCTTGCTCATTCTCTTTTTTATGTTTGTTAAATGCGGGACTGGCATGCACTCCCCCCCCTGCCCCCTGCTGGTGGGGGGAAATAAGTGACATTTCTTTTTTCTTTGATGGGGACATTAGGAGGAGCAAGGTCTCTTGTCCACAATCTTGTTTAGGAATGTATTTTTGCCTATAGTTATTGTTTCTGTTTCTCAACTAAATGGTAGCTTATGCACATAGCATACTTTGTATGTGTGTGGGTGTATTGTTGGAGAATTGGTTATCACAAGCTTAAGGCACATAAACCTTCATTTTTCTCATGTTATTCAATAATATATCCATTAAAAATTCCTTTAACCGTTATCACAAGTATCGTACATATAACTTATTAATGAAGCTTTCTTCAGGTGTCATTAATAGACTCATGGTTCTTATGTCGGAGTCCAATTAAGAAGTTGCTGCTCAGGATTATGAGGAAATCTAAGCATGATGAAAGTAATGAACCTAAAAGGCAGATCGTATATTCGTTTGGTGACCACTACTACTTCAGAAAAGAACTTAAAATACTGAACCTTCTGACCGGGTACAAAAGCTCTCTATTGCCGTTGACTTTTATGGTTCTGTGAATTGTCGGCTATAGAATAATTCTCCTGACAAGCTACATTTTGTTCATGTTACCACTTTATAGGTATATAGTTCTGCTTGATAAATTTGGTAGAATAAGATGGCAAGGCTCTGGATTGGCTACGGAAGAGGAGTCGTCATCCCTTTTATCTTGCACAAAACTGCTCTTGGAAGATAAATGAGGCAGTTGAGGCTCTCTACATACATCTTGAGTTGATACACTAGTTCCAAATTCAAGAATGCTAGATTGTAGCATTTTACCTCATCTCTTATGTGTATTTTGTGTTTAGTTTTAATATATATACTCACATTTGGCTATTGAATGCAATTTTGTTTCTTCTTTAGATCAACTGCCTTTTGTTTTTCGGCTACAAATTTGTTCAACTTATTAGAATCAAATAATAGTGACTTTGTCACAGGAACTCAGACATGCATTCCTAGGGCCTATCGTTTTAATTGAGTTGCTTTATTAGAGTCAGTTTGTGGGTTGGGTCAAAACCAACATTGGCTGGGATTCAACTCCTAATTCGGGAAGTGTTAATAGTTTGACTAGCTTTTATAAGGGAAACTTGATAAAGGATTTTAAAGAGCTTCTCCCGTTAAGAGATGTAAATTTGGAGGCGTAAAGCCCCATTTACATCTCCTGTGATGTAAATGTGATTTTTACTCAAATAAGTAGATATAAATCCGAATATATAAATTAACTTCAAGAGAAACTCCTATCGAAGTTCATTATGAATCTTTGGGTACCTATAATGAGATTTATGAGCACTATCTAATAGTAAGTAGTATAAATAAAATATTAAAAAAAAATTATTTTTTATTTTCTTGTATTAATACGTTATTGTGTTAACTTTTTGTGTCCTTTTAGTTATGCTACATTTTTTCCCAAACAAATCGACCTAAATATTAAAATTTCAACAACATTCCGGAAATAACATTGTAGGTGTTTAGTTTTGATTTTTTAGGAAAATTGGGCAATTATGGGAGTTGTTGAGGCCCAAAAAAGTCCATGGTTGGGCCCAAATAAGTTTTCGGTCCAATACGATACTGTATTAAGAAAAGTCACATATTGGAGTACACGAAGGCTCGTCATATACAAGTCATAGTCCGCGTGCCATGCTAAATAAATAATTCATCATGCCAATGATTGAAATAATATTATAAAATACAAGCACATGCTAAACTAAGCACCATATCCCTCTTCAAGGACGATAAAATTGAAGCACGCCAAGCAACATGTCACGCCAAGCAAGGAATTATTATTCCACACCCCATCACGCCACAAGCATAAGTGGGCCCCAAGCCACTTAAATACTCGGGGCTTGCTTGAGTGGGTTGTGGTATGGATGGTAATAAATCAACATGAGTCCCATTAATGGGCAAAGAAATGGAAAGTCTCGGGTTGCTTATGAGCCTAGGGACTCAAGCCCGTTTCTTAGGCCCAAACATGTGGGTGACCACAAAAGAGGAAAAAATAGCTTAATAGCCCAATCAAAATAGCCTATTGACTCAACCAAAAAGCCCAACGTTTAATAAAAATAGCTCACTTACTTAATGAACCACCTTGGTCCATGCAATTGCCATAAATGAGCCACAAAGGCCCCAGCACCTGGCTGGAAGAACAAAAGCCACGAAGAGGAGGTCTGAAGGTTCATTGAACAAAGCTACTAGGAGGTTCCAGCACATGGGGGGAGCAAGTTTCAAAGCAAAAAACATTCGATGAACCAAGGGATATTAGCACGTAAGCTGCTAGGAGGAAGAGCACCCTTCAAACCAGCATGTATACCCATTTGCTTTCCTTCATCAGATCTAGCCAGGGAATGAGGAAGGAAAGAAGAAGAAAAATAGCTAAGAATGGAGCCTTCCACTGAACAGCTGCGGGAAAAGGGGCTTTGAGCTCCCAAAATTTCTGATTTTGTGCAAATAGATAGAGGAAATTTCACCAAGATAGAAAAAGTCAAGGGAGGAGAGGAGAGATGAAGGAAAAGCTTGGCCAAATTGGGAAGAAACCATTAGGGTTTCTTGGGAAGAGATGGTTTCCAGCAGCTATAAAATGAGGCATCTTCTGCCCAATAGGACCAACCTACATCCAGAGAGCAAGTTTCCTCTCTTACTTGCAAAACCTAACAATTTTGTGCACTATTCACCATTCTTCCCCATTTTTCCTCTTCTGGCAGACCACTTTCACATTTGACAGAATTTTTGTCAAGCTGCCAGAAGAACATTGTTCTTTCTTTCTCTCTTCTCAGCCAAATCTTCTTGCAAACCTTTTCTTTTTTACCTTAACACTCCCCTTTTTCCCCACGAAATCATAATTTCCTCTTCAGTGCTAAACTCATGTTGATTTTGATTCCATGCCACAAGCCTCTCATGCCAAGCTAGAAAATTTATCTGTAAGCATTAAGAAATCATCTGTAAGTTGCTGTTGTTTTAGTTGGTGAAGGTAACCAAGATGCTTTCTAAGGCTCTACTGCCCTTTCGAAGCATTTTTGGGGCTTGATTTTCGAACTCAGACACAGGGGACAATTTCATCAATCTGCCATTTACCGCAGCCCAGCTCATTTACAGCCGCCGGAAGGAAAAGTCCCCTACAGGAGTATATTGAAAAAAAATAATAGGACTAGGTGTAATTTTTTAGGTAAATTTTAAGAACTTTTTGCTATTTTTTGGGTTTGTAAAAGTCAATGAATCCAACCCTTGGATCTTGGGGAGAGTCGACCGTTGCAAGCACTTAGTGCGTTGTGACCTGTCGACCGTTGCAAGCATCACTTAGTGCACTCTAATGCATTGACCGTTGGAAGCAACACTTAGTGCGCTCTAACATGTCGACCGTTGCAAGCAACACTTAGTGCGTTGAGTCAAGCCGTGAGACCCACAGAGCAACATCTAGCGAGCATCTAGACCTCCACTCCCTTCTTTATCTTCCTTTAATGTTGTGGAGTTCACTTGGAGCAAATATAAAAATGGGTGTAAAAGCCCATCTTTTTCCCATCTTAGGCGATTTTCACGCATTTACATCCCTATACATCTCCCTATTGCAGCCAATTCTAGTCACTTTAGCTCTAATGGTGTGTTTACTAATCAGGAATTGAATTCCACCTATGAAAGATTCATGCGTTTACTTCACATCAATGAATTGAAAAGTAAGTGGGGCCTACATAAAATTAGAAATTGAATTCCTGATTTTGAAGGAATTCAATTCTTGGGTGGGAGGTGGTATTCTAATCCTGGATAACTAACCCATTAGGAATTCATCTTTTTTACTCATCATATCCTCACACAATTTTAAAATTTTAAAATTTGCCATTTACTTTAACCTAACAACGAGGACATTTTAGTAATTAGTACCACCCCTACCCCAATTCCTTATGGTTTAGTAAACAACTTCAATAGAAATCTGAAATCTAACTCCCTTCAATCCACATGGTTTAGCAAACAACTTCAATATGAATCTTGAATCTAATTCTCCTTAATCCAACTCCTCCTCATTTCAACTCCACCTAATCCAATTATGGTTTAGTAAACATGTCATAAATGTAATTTACACCTCTCTTTACACTTGAGCAGAGCATGGAAGATGCTTTAACAATTATGTCTTGTATGTGACTGTGTGCAACCTTTAAAGAAATAGCAATGCAACACATGGCCAACATCTTAGAGTTGAACATGTTTTGAATTAGTTTGACTGTATGATAATATTATGTTGGAAATTAAATTGAGAATAGAAAGAAAATTTGGCTTTGAGGCACGTTACTACATTTTTCTTAAAGTGATATTTCCCCCTCACTCAATAGAGTTTGCTAATACGTTCCACACAAATCACTTCCAGGATAATACGAAGATTGGAATTATTGAGTTTAGCAAAAACTGAAATTTCCTTAGAATTTCTACAAGGAAATTGTATGATATATTGAGAAGAAGAGTTAGAGAGACATTGATTTATGTTGTGTTTAGAAGTCCCGCATTGTGGGGTTTTTATAGATTTGAGTGAGTGTCAAAAGTACCCGTTTGATTTTGGTGAAGAGGTGGCAAAGCACTCTTTCGGTGGACAATGTTGGCCCTGTGGGTGGGCAAGGAGGGCAAAGGCCATGGGCCTTGCATTTGTAGGGCCCCAAATTATATATATTATATATGTACTAAGTTGAAGAATATGATTTTAGAGGAGAATAATTTCAATAGTTTGGCATTTGGAGGCCCCAAATATGATTACAAGTGTTTCTGAAGAGTTCAAATGAAAATTATGTAATATATGAATATCAATTGCATGTATATAAGTATTTAATTGCCAAAAAGTATTTAATTGCTAAAAGTAATGATCAATGAAAGAAAGCCAATAGGGACTAGAAATTCTTTTATTTATCCAAAAATTCTTGTTAGTAGATTATTTAGTGAGGAAATATGAAAGAATGCAAATTATTTGTATTCTCATTCTTGTTTATTTTCTGATTGGGGCAACGATTTTATAATCAATACTGGAGTCGTGTTTATGTATCCAAATTGTATTTAATTGCATAATTTTTTTTTCATTTTAGTTTATTATATTCAGGAGAATGAAAGAGAAATTAGCCTCATTTTTATTTCTAGCCTAGGGCCACCCAAAAATCAAGCCCGGCCCTGTCGGTGAATAGATGCCTCCTATTGAATATAACTGTCAATACCCAAAGTTCACAACTGTTAGGATACTTTTCAAATGATAACTCCATTTCACAATGCACCCACCGACTCATCACTAATATATGCAATCAGTCATATATCTATTCATATATATTTTGAAATCTCTAACAATTCCTTCCAATTTCAAAAAATATTTATATAAACTGGAAATGTCATTCTCTCATTGAAACCAATAATAAACATATATTACAGTACCAATAATTCTCATCCAAATTGTAATATACTTTAAACATTTCAATAAAATCATCATTATATGTTCATGTATACAAGAAGGTATCTTTCGATTTTAACCTTCAATTAGTGTAAGTATTTCAAAGATTTGACGGAGACAACAGTGGCATTTCCATACCTTAAATCGTGTGTCCATTTGTCAAAACCGGATAATACCACACACATGATCACATTAAAATTTCCTTGTAAAAAATTCTGAATTGATAAGCACTATTATGGTCGTGTGCTACTACCTGGTTTCATAAATAATTACAAGATTAACACCCAAAAAACTCTTGTTAGAAGCAGCACCACTTCTTATATTTATATAGGTGAGGTTACTCATGATATATCCCTATTATTAAGGACATGAAAAACAATTATATCTCACCAAGAGTTTAATAAACTCATCCTCTCTATCATAGTAGTATGCATTGAGCATCCTGGAATAGGTTAT